AAGTGGCTTCGCATGTGTGGAATCTGGATGCAGGCATCCTGCTTACTTTTCTAAAAAGCAAAAAAAAAAAAAATTTCCCAATGACCCTCTCCTTTCATGCATGTCAAGCCTCAAAACCCAAATTCGAGGCGCGATAGATGCCGTACACTTGTGAGAGAGTCCCACAAATGCACAAGGCTCTGAACTTTATCATACCACAATCTGATACCACAAAATCTGAAGATAAAATTTTAAAATTTGCTCTAATATCATAAAATCTTCAAATAAAGTCTAGCTTACAAGATCATGATTTATATCTAAAATCTATGTTCATTTTACAAGATGCCTAGCCTTTTAACTCGTCAGTCCCCTCATTTTTCCTTGTCCTTGACTTCGTTTCCTAAAATGGTGAACAAGGAAAATTATGAGATAATTTAGTAAGTAAATATGGATAACCCTTAATTAAACTTATAGCATACCAATAAGTATAATCAAGAAAAACAGATACGAATACGGAAATGAAATAGATGTCTCCTCTATAGGTCATGGCCAGTGTTATAAACCTCCCACTAGTAGGCACACGAATTAGTGTATAATCCCACTAGCAGGATAACAATAACATAAACGAACCGGTTCTATCAGTAACATGTCAACATATGCTAGCATTTATAAACCTCCCACTAGTGGACACACGAATAACGTGACCATATCTGAGACAAAACCAAGCAAGATTTATAGAAAAATCCACGATTCACACAATCACTCAAATTTCATAAGTAAACCGAAAAATTTCCATGTGGGCATGGATTTATCAGAAAAATCAAAATTTACAAAATTCTTAGTTCATCAGGGCAGTTAAGTAAATTCCAAGTAGGCATGCTCTTACTCAATGAAAATGAAAATAATTCAATTTCAAACCAATCATGCTCGATACTAATAAAATTAGTTTAAACCTTGCCACCATCTCAAAAACAATTTAAAATATGCTTTAAAATCAAAGAACGTTACTATAATTTACTTACCTCACTCGCATAAAACCAAAGACTCAATCCACGTACTAAAGTGCCCCAAAGATCAAGAACCTAACCAAAATATCCAAGAATTAATTATATAAGCAATTTCATTTATTTATTTATTTTCATTGACCGGATTGTGTATATATACATTTATATACACAAATACATATATAAATGGTTTCCCAATCTCACGGACAAGATGGAGAAGCCGGGCCTTTATTAAATTAATCCTTTTTGGCAAAATAGTAGCTAATCACGGGATTTTCATATAAAATACTACACAGCCCATCAAGAACATTTTCTACATTAAGCAAGCTTAAAAACCCATGTTTTAAGGCTGCCGAAATTCCTCCATTTCAACAGAAAATTTCTAACGGACAAAATGGAGGAACCGAGCTTGGCAAAACAACACTAAGACCAGGCTATGCATACAGAACATCACAGTAGTCCAATCACAGAAAATTCTACATGAATTAAATTCAAAACATGTTTCAAAAGCTGTCGGAATTCATCCCCTGTACAATAGAAAATTTTCGGACAACAGGGCAGCAATTCAACAATTTAACCATTTTCGGACTTAAAGATGCCATCAACATACCAGAATTTTTCCAGCAGCCAAAACCGGAGTTGGCGGGTATGGAGACCGACGGAGACTGGAGAAGAAATCATGAAAAATACCACAAAATTGCAAGAAACAAAAGGGATTAGAGTGACCCAAGCCAAATTAAAGCTAAAGAGATGAACTTGAAGCTGGTTCTTACCGAAATTCCCGAAGGATTCACACCCAGCAGAACAGCGGACAGACAAAGGGGAAGAAACACAGCAGATCTGAAATTTTCTGCAGGGGGGGGAAGATTTCTAAGTCCTAATTTTGCTCTTTAATGAGAAAAGAAGGGAAAATTTTAAGCTTTTGCTGATTTTTTCAAGAAATGGAAGTCAGTGCTTGGGCTTCTTTTTTGGGAGCTGCAGGGGTGAGGAAGAAGAAGAAACCCGCGTGGCTGAGGAAAAAAGAAGGGAAAAAAATCAGCTTGATCCTTATCCTTATGTTTTTCTCTTTTAAGTCCCTCAAATTTGGATATTTTAGCTAATAGGCCCTAAAATAATATTTTCTCACACAAAGATCCTCAACTTAAATGCTAGAATTTCAGAAAATTTGGGATATTACAACGCAGTTGACCTCCGTTAGGATAGCTGGAAGAACGTTGGTTTAAGATTGAGTTTTGCGCCCTTAAGACGATTTGCAAGAGAGAGAGAAGCCTTCCTACAACATGGGTTGCTAATCTGCCTTGGACAATCTCTAAGACTTTACCACTACAATGAATTTAAGTTAATAGATCCAAAATGAACGGAATGAGATGCAAATTAAAATAAACTTGAAATTTATTATATGGAAGGAAATCAGAGAAGCAATTACACAAACTAATTTGAGTACTTGAATGTTGAAAACAACCTAAATCTATTGAGATCTGTGCTAAAACTAAAATCTGAAAGCTAAAGTGAGCACTCACTATGAAACTAGAGAATTGAAAATTTGATGAGTTTTGTATAGGGCTAGCCATGTCTATTGAAAAATCAGAAAGCTTCTGTTTGTATCCTTCCTGCAAACTGTCTCTTGGTTGATCAAATCACGAATAACTTCCTCCCAAATTCTAAGGATTTCTGTTCCTTTTAAATTCAATCTGCAATAAACCGGATAACCTTTATCCTCCCAACCAATTTTACCGATACACATCCCTTTAGTAGATTTGATTTCACCTTATCCATTGACACATCATATCACTTAAAAAATACAATTTATGGTGTAAACAATAATAAAATAAAAATATTTGTAAAAGGGAAAGGAAAAAGCATTATTATAAGATTTTATTTAAGTAAGAGGAAATGAAAAATATAAATCAAAATGTGAAATTACCTCATAAAATGATTTTAAGCTTAATAATCTGCAAAAAAAAAAAATATTAGTAGATCAAATAAAAATAATTGGATGATAAATGAAAATAACAAAAAATAAATAAATAAAAGAAAATAAAAAGCTTGAGATGAAAGAAAATGAAGGAAAAGTAGAAGGATGGAAACCAAAAATGAAAATGAAAAAGGTAAAAGGAATGATGAAAGAAAAGTAGAAACAAGAGGGAAAGATGAAGACATGCAATGTAAGAATTAGAAAGGTAGAAGGAAAGGGAGAAGAAGAAAGAAGAATGAAAAATAAAAATGAAAGGAAGAAGAAAAAGATGATGATGATCAGAACAAAGGGAGAAGGGAAATAGGGTTAAACATCTATGGGAAAGGAAGGAGAAGGGGAGAAGTAGGAGAAAAGGAGAACATATTTGTTGATTATGTTTCTATGTCTATATATATAGATAAAAAATATTCGATAAAAATTTTATCGATTATGTTTTAAAATGACTGTCGATTATATTTAAAATTAGATCAACTATGGAATTAAACTTTTTTTAGGTGGGGAAGGCAATATGAGTATAATCAATAGCCAATGACTGTTGATTATAAATATAAAAATTTTATAAATATATATGTTAATATTTAATCTTCCACTAGTAACATCTATAAATATTATATATCTTATAAATAATAAATTTAGTAATAAAAATTTAACAATATTAAATGTAAGATTATTTTAAACTAATATTATACATATATCTACTTTGATTAAATTATCAATTTTAACACTTTATATTTATAGTTAATTTTGTTATTATATATACACAAAAAACATATAATATTAATAAAAAATAATCTCACATTTGATAATGTTAAATTTTTATTATCAAATTTATGATTTACAAGATATGTAATAATTATAAATGCTACCAGTGGAAGGTTAAATATTAATGTATATCAATAAAATTTTGATATAATCGATAGCCACTATTAGTTATTTATTGTACTCATATAATCAACAAAATTGAATGTCGATTATACTCATATAATTGACAAAATTAGCTGTCGATTATACATGCATAATTGACAAACAACTATTGGTTGTCAATTATACCCCATATAATCAACTTATTAATATAATCAACATAATTTTTATTGATTATAGGAGTATAATCATCAACTTTTTGGTTGTCAATTATATTCTTGTCATTTAAATACTGTTTTCTAGTACTGTGAATTCTATAATTTGATTACTGAATTTCTAAATCTCTAAAGAAGTTTTGTGGAATTAAAGTTTCGATATAACTCATAACATATAATTTAAGGTTAAAATCATTGGTTATATAAAAGATTGTGTTGGTAATTAATTATCTTTAAGGAATAATTATACATGTCTATTATGCATATTGGTGATAGCATAACTGTGGCAATACATAAAATTTTTAAAATTTCAAAGAAAAGATATTTGATAAAGTTCTATGAATTTTAAATTTTGTGTACCTTGGTCTGTTTAAGATAGTGATAGGATTTCATCAGATTTTCTTTAAGTATTAAAGTAAAGGAACCAATTAAATTTGAAAGACTTTCTAGAAGTATTAATGTCTCTCAATTTATATATTAAAGAATTACTACCATTAAAAGTTATGAAAGATATGGTTGAGAGGAATTATAGACCCATATATATATAGACATAAAAGTCCTAATAATGTTTTATGATTAATATGTATCAAGAGTTTGTTTATTAGGATTAATGATTTTTGTCACTAAAGGATTTTGAGATATTAAGAAATTTTGTTCTAATGGGAGATTGGTTAACTTTCCAATAAGGATTTTGGGATGTTACATTAGTTATGGGTAATTGTTCTAGTAGGAGTTTATGAGTTGATGTGGATGGTACTATTAAAGTAGGCCATTTATGGAGATTCACATATTTCTTAAGAAGGATCCTAGATTGTTAAATTAAGTAAGTGTTTCAGTGGGAGTATGTGAATTGATATGGGTGGTACCATCAAAGTGGGTCATCTATTAAAATTCACATATTTCTTAATAAGGATTTTGTAATGTTGCTTCTTGAAATTAGTGTGTATGATTATTTGCCCAAAGAAGGTGATTGTATATATTGACTAAAAGAAGTGTGAGTGGTTAGTAAGGGTTCTTATTTTGGTTTCATAGATAATTTTCTACTCAAAAGGGATTATTTTCTATGGGATCATGCTTATTAATTCACTTGTAATGGAAATTTCTAAAGGTTAATAAAGTTTTATACCCATTGGTTTTATTATACTATCATGTCATTAAAGTTAGTCAATCTATTGGGAAGATTGAATATGAACTATTAAAGTTAAAGAATAAAGTTGCTACTTTTATATTAGTACATGCAATGTTCTGCCCAAAGGTGATTATTATATGCATTAACTTGAAATAGTGGGAGCAATTGGTAAAGATTATAAGTACTTATACATAAAGGATGATTTCCCTCCTAATTGACTTGTTAAGGTTTGATTTGATCAACATAAAGTGCAAATAAAGCATAGTTGTGCCTTGAACTCTTGTGAATTAAAGGGAATCATGTTATGGATTAAGCTACATTATGTAAAGCTTATTTTGGAAAAGGCAATTGTATGGAAACAAAGGATTATAATTAAAATTATATTGCCAATGTACAATTGGTGTTAATGTATGTATTTCTTAAGTGATTTGTATCTTAATTGTATATGATTTGATTAAGTTTATAGATACATGTTTCTTCATGGTAAAAGGCATTAGCAATTATTATAAGAGTAATGCAAAATTAAAGATCTTGTGAAATATTTGTTATTACTAAAGGAAATTGCTTCCCTTGATTAGGAGATATTTTAGAAGCTATGATGGAATAATGTGTTTAGAAAATTAGTAGAAGTTAAACAATTGATAATGATAAGATTATGGATATGTGAAAGTTGCTTTGGTTGCAATGAAGAAACTATTAGACACATGTGTTATGAATTATATATATGAAAAATAATTTTTATAAAATATGCAATTACCTTTATTAAAGTTGATAAAGTGTGTTTGGTGTAGCTAATGGGAAGCACTTTTGAAGTCCAAAAGCTCCAACTAGACCAAACACCCCTACTTCTGAAATTGCCTTCAATGAGAATCTCAGCCACCTTCCACCCTTTGAAAATTCCAAAAGTAAGAAATTCTTGCTTTTGCACATGCTTTTGGCTTCCTTTTAATGAAAATTGCCCCTTATACTTATTTTACCCTTATATTTTAATAAAATTACAATTAAACCACCCTATATATATTATTAAAAATCCCTAATTTTGCAACTCCCTTTATCTCCTGATTGCTCTTTTTTACTCTACCTCCCGATTGCTCTTCTTTACTTTACTTCCCGATTGCTCTTCTTTACCCATCTTCCATCTACTGCACTTTTCACCAGATCCCAAGCTTGACTTTTCTTGCATCTTCATTTGTCGATTGCTGACTATACACATCTTCTCAATTAGCCAATTGCCTCATCTTTTTTTCCCTTTTTTTTTATTTTGCATCTATCTCTGCCGATTGCTTGCAGTACCCATCTTCCATCTGCCATATAGCTACACCAAATCCCAATTCCAACATCCTCATCTTCCTCATCCCAGATCTAGCGGGTAAGCTCCCTTTCTTCAAACTTAAATCTTCTAGATTGTGGGTTTTATTACTACATCTTTTTTTCCCTTTTTGATTTCTATAAAGCTTGGCTTTTGCTTTCAATTTCCATGTGAATTTCTTGGTTTTCTTCCTATTCATCAATCTAAATGTGGGGAAGAGTAATCAGGCAACATTAACCTTTACATAAAGACATTGGGGTATAAGATTCATGATGTGGAAGCTGAGTATTATGCTGATGGTGGGGATGCATATGACATGTGGAAGAGGCTAAAGGGGAAGCAGAACCATCACCATTAGCATGGTGGTGGGTGTTGTTCTAGTAAGGCAAGAAGTTCAAAGGGGACCCAAAGAAGAGGAGACTCAAAATCAGAGTCCAAAGCCAACACCAAATCAGATACAAAAATAGGATGATGGTGGGAGGTAAACTAAGTATTCAGAGAAGCAAGTGTGGCATTTGACTTGATTATTATTGGTTTCACCCAGTATTGTTGGTTTGTCTATTAAAGTAATAATACATTATAGAAAATCTATAATCTTGGTTACATTCATATGCATTGGTTACCAATCAACAAGCTCGTGGTTATGTGCTAGTTTCTATTGTCCTTTTGCCATTAAAACTAGTAAGTCTGATTTAGTATTTGGAATGACAGAACCACCTTTCATTTTTCACTTTTTGAAATTTATGATTTATGTTTTTGTTTTGCTATTTTTCTCCACTATGCTCAATTTTGAGTAGCAATTGAAACAGTTTGCCAAACTTTTTTATCTTCAATTTTGCAAGAAATTTGGTGTTGCTAGTGAGTCATGATGCAAAGGTAAATTAAGTATTTATTAGACCATTCTGAGTCATCATTAAACTATTACAATTTTTAATCCTTGTGATAGTTTAATGTCTTTTTGGTTAATTGTTGCATTATAATCTTTCTAGAAGTAGAAATGGTATGTGTCAAACAAGACTACCTCTTGTCTGTATGTGCCAACTTGTTACTCTTTCAAATCCATTAATGGTGGGATGGCAATAGTTAGTAGTGGTTTAATTTAATTGTACGTAGATTTGCTTCATTTTAAGGTCATTAGAACAAGAGGAATATAAACCATCATCTCAGATTGTGTTTTGGCAGTTTTCCATTCCTTAAATAAAATTTATAAAAGGTGTTGTTTTTTAGTTCTTACAACTTAGGCTGGTGTGTGTGTGTGTATGGATACCATTAGATGTCTAACCTTACAAAAGGACGTTTTTTTTTTTTTTTTGGTATAACCTATGGCAAGCATAGCAAACTTGGTGGCATGTTTCACCTTACAAAAGAAAGTTCCATCCTCATTTTTTCAGCTCATATCTTCGTCACATTATAGTTTTTAACAGTCCCCATCAGGTTGGTTTTCTCGTTTTTGGATGCAAAAGATAGAATTATCAAAATGGAAGCTATCATGTTTTCTTTTATTACCTTCCCTGTATGCATCTATCTATTCATATCTATATAATTCTTTCTCCTTACCTTATGCTACTATGTTAGGATACATATTAAATTACTTGAAATTGTTTTACCATCTTGGGCCTCATATAAACTATTTTTCTTCCAAGTAGTTTCCTGATCATTATCACAAGAGAAAAGAATGCGAGAGAAATGCATTCCAATGACTCAGACACCCATTTACAATTGATGTGATCCTTTACATCATGGTGTTATCGAGAAACAGAGGAGTTATCAAAATGCAGGTGTAGATGTTACTTTTGGGTGAAGTTTTAAGGTGATGGATGGATATATAGTTATTCCTCTCAAAAAATGTTGGGAGAACATTGCAAAATAGGCTTCTTCTTTTTTTTTTTTGTCTTGTATCACAACTGCCTTAGACTTGCTGTATTGCAACTCTCTTTGTTGATTAAATTAGAGAGATCATACTTGATGTACAATTTGGTAGCCAATAAACTTTGGTTTTTCACATTTTTATTGTCTTCTTTGTTTCCCAAGGGTGTTACATTAGAGAAGTTTTATGAATTTATTTTGTAAAACATTTCTTCATTGAGGAGGCTAAGATAATTCTAGTTGAAGAAATTGAAATTTATATTCCATGATTAGATACCATAAACTGTTTAAGAGATAACGGAGATAACAGAGATAAAATCTATTCAGCTGTAAATGACAATAAAGAAAGCTAACAGATTTCAAGGGATGTGTCAAAACTATAGAGTTTTTCCTCCAAACTCATGATGTAAGCATCTATTAATATTAAAATTATCAATTACTAGCATTTATATTTTATAAATATAAAAATTCCATTTGTAATCATCAAATTTAATATAATTAAATTAAAAAAGAATTAAATTTTATAAAAATGTCAAAAAAAAGAGAGAACCAATGTTTTTTTTAAAGAAAATGTCTATTTCAGTCATTTCAATATTAGAAGATCTTTTGTAAAAAAATTTACCAAATAACTTTACACTCTGAAAGTTCTTCAATAAAAAATTTTACCAAACACCTTCAGCTTCTTAAAAATAGGACTTCTACAATAGATTATTTCAAACAAGACTTCTATCAAAAGCTCCAGCTATACCAAACACACCCAAAGAGCCTGTTTGGTGTGGCTTAAGCTTTTAATAGAAGTCTTGTTGCTGTTGGAAATAATCTGTTGTAGAAGTGTTATTTTTGAGAAGTTAAAAGTGTTTGGTAAAATTTTTTATAGAAGTACTTACAAAGTGGTAAAATATTTTGAATGTGGTAAAATTTTTTCAAAGTGAAAAGTTGTTTGGAAAATTTTTTTATAAAAAGATCTTTTAATCCAATGTAATGCTAAAATGATTAAAATAAACAATTTTTACTTAATCACCACTCCCACTCCATTTTTTTATATTTTTATATAACTTTAATTTTATAATTAGTTTAAGGTTGATGATTAAAAATTAATTATTCATGTATGCTTATATTTTAATATTAAAAAAAATAAAATATACTACATTTAAGTCACATAAATAAGACAATTAAAATTAAAACTTATGCCAAGTAATCATCTTGATGATTTTCCATTAAGGATAAAGCTATGGAATGTTGAAATTAAATCATGTCATGATCCTTCATTGTACTAACAAAATTATTTTGAGAAATTCTTTCATCCATGCTCTCTTCCCCAAGCTCTTCAAGCATATAATTTGGGTTTTAATAACACCTATCAAATTCTAAGGAACACAAAAAATGACTTATGTCATACATCTAACATAAGATTATGTATATCAAGGAGAGAAATGGCCTATTTGCTCCATGAAATTCCTCCTCTTGCCAAGTTGTCGAGGAAAAAGGAAGTTGACTTTTGCTATCACCATTGAATCAAGTTTAGGAATGAGATAAAAGTGAGGCATTTTGACTAGGAATTATTAACTTTTTCCATTCACCTAATGAATTGTTGAATCAACTTTCGTATCCCACATTCCCACCTTCTCTATCCTTGAATCAAATAGAGCTTGATGTGAACTAACCAAACCAGACCTGAATTTGCTGACCATGGAATTAAACTTGGACATCTTAACCTAAAACTCCTATATACATGAAACATGCTAATGGCTAAAAAGAAAGTTAAGATGACTAAAGAGGAGTAAGGACTTTGATTCCGAAACCTAGTAGCATAAAAGTTAAATACTACAACCAATCAAGCAATAAGGTAACCTTAATCAAGAAAAAAAAAGTATGATTTAGACCATTATAGAAACCTATGTGGCATTGAACAAAAATGGTTCTACATTCCAGACAACTGTTTGGGTTGAGCTTGACATTTCGCTGTGCCACTATCACTAGTGGAGGAAAATCAAATACCCAACATCTCTAGACTTAACACTTATCTCTCATTGTAATTTCTCAACACCTTCCCCACCACCACCAAATGCCACACTCCAAATGCATGTGTCTAAGAAGAAACTTGTACCAGGACTAAACATGTAACCATCACAAACATGAGCATATAGAGGAATAATTTTCTAATAATGTAAGGAAACATGCATGTTCCACACCAATAAGTCGATAAATCAAGGATCAAAATAGCATAGAATTGACCATCACAATCCAAATTATAGCAAGCAACATTAATAGAATCAACGCAAATAAAATTTTAAACATCACTTCACATCATGGAAATATAACAACCCACACTTAGATGAGGATTGAAAGGATCAGTGATTTCCATCCTTATTTGGGAAAAAAGCAAAGTAGTGTAACAATCAAAGTAGTAAAAAAATGCATTTAGAAAATTATCCAACAATACATAATTCCAAGTTCCATACCAAAATAAATAAAATGGAAAAAAAAAATGAAGAGGTGGGTTTTCTATTTCATCTTCTATTTTGTAAACAGAAAAGTAGGTCGAATTGCCCAAGATCCAAATCCCCAAGCTTCTGGTGCTTGTCTCCGATGGCAATGCGTGAACACTCCACTACAGACCCAATCAAGACTAGGAAAATTAGGGGGGAAATTGGGGACTTTGGGTGGGAAGAACCTAAGAAAATAAAGGGGAACAAAGGCAGCTTACTTGATGGTGTGGCTTTGTAGATCTAGACTACTCTTCATAATAGTTGATTGGGAAAATTAGGGGGAAATTAGGGATTTTGGGTTGTAGGTAGGTTGAGAAAAAAGAAGGGGAAGAACAGATGAAAGACGAGGAACATAAGAAGATGAGGAAAGAATTGAACAAGATGGGGAATGAGAATTAAGGATTTTCAGTTTAGGGAGAAAAAAGATGGGGAAATAGAAGGATGAGGGATTTTTGGTTTGCTTCTTTGGTTGGATGAGGAAGAAGATGGGCAAGAAGATGGGGGAGAAATACGAGGAAAAAACACCAGCAATGATTTTGAGCTGCCTTGAGAAAGAAACGAGAATGGTGATGTTATCAATGGAACACTATATATAGTGGTTTCTTTGTAAATAGAAGCAAATGTGAGGATAAAATAGGGAGAATAAGTAAAATTCATTAAAACCATAAGTAGAAGTCCTTACGGAAGCACCAATTCCATGCTTTTGAAAATTGCATTAGAATGGAGGAAAGACTAGCTTGTGAGAAGTTGAAGCATTTTTCACAAGTTGTAATGTTTGGTGTAGTTTGTGCTTTTAAAACCAAAAAGTCCTTCTCATAAGCTACATCAAACGGGCTCAAAGTCTTGTCACTCTTGTGCTTTTGTGTTTGATAAAAAATTTAAAGATTATATTATTTTGGGTAATGGCTAATGGATGATTGTTTCCATTATGATATTTTATATTTGATGGTGTTAGTTATCTATATGAATGTCTTGTTTTCATAATTTGGTAGAAAAGATAAATCAAAGTTAATTGTTGATTTTACCTTATAAAATAAGAGTGACATTAAAGTGAAATTATAAATAATAATTATAGTTGTGCATTATTATGACTATGTTAATTAGTGTACTAATCAAGAGATTATAACTTGATTAGTTATCTATAAGAGTTATTTTAGATATTCTTGATCAGTGAGAGAAGTTGATTTCTCTATTAATAATAAGATATTTTACTTATTGTATCATTTATTATTTTATAATAATGCACGTGCATTGTACTAATGATTTTTATGAACTCATACAAGATACTGATATTGAGATCTTGAGGTATAAAGCATAAAAACTTCTTTGGAAGTGTGTGAACTTCTTTTGAAGTGTAAAGGCTTTTCTAGAAAAGTGAGGGAGATTAACTCTTGGATTTCTATGAAACTAGAATTAAGTTAAAGAGTTTCCTGGGAAGTGTAAAAAGGATAACATCTTGATAAAGGGTTTCTCTAAAACCATAAATAGAATGTTGTGGTTTTGGTATGTTATATATTATATGGATCATGTTATGTCAAACCACACTACACTTTAATCACACCTATTGGAATTAATGTTGGTGCAGATATTTGATACTTGTAATTGTGAGGGGTCTTATGTTATTAGTGACACAATGATCACACAATTGGGTATTGCTATTTTCATTAAACAGAATTCTATATTGAGATTTTAATTTATATTTGTGACTACTAAAGTTGTGTTTGACTTAAGAGTCATTTTTTAAATATGTTTTTCAAATTTTAAAACCAATTAGTGTTGTCCAAGTGGGAGAATGTTGGAAATTTTATGTGAACTTGTGTTAAATGTATTTGGTTTTTAAAATTAGGTCAAATGGAAAATCGTTAAAATCCAATAAAGTTATGTGATCCAAATGGCCTTAGGTTTTAACTTAGTTTTATATGCTGTAATATAAATATGTGTAAAGCCTGAAATTAGAGATGGGTTACTTGATGGAAATTCCCAAAATATTATTATAATGGGTTAAGTCCCCTTTTCCATTTAAAAAACCCTATTTCTATATATAATAGAGTTAGAGAGTAGTATGACCTATTGATTGTCACTACACAGAAATTGAATAGGGTGAAGAAGATCTAAATCCCAAATATTAACTATATTTGTTTTGTAACTTTTGTCATGAGATGTAAGTTATAATGATCCTTGAAAATTCTTAGGTAACATATTCATTATGAAGCTTCAAATACACAATTTATTTATTTTATTAGATCTTGGTATCCTAAACTTAAAATTCTAACATTCTATTCTTTCATTATTTATACTAGAGTCCAAAAGAATTGTTTATGTTTAGGAAAAAGTTAAGGTAATTAAAGATTTAGGAGTGGAAATCTTCTTTGAACTGTTCAAAATGCAATGCAAATTAAGCAGCTAGTTTTTGTTTATGTAATTGCCATAGTCAGGATATAGAGAAGATACAAATATGCCGACTCAACTTCCTGCTTTTTAGTGTTTGTGATAACGTGATATATAGTACAAAAAATATGCAGTAATGCATGACGATGATATCAAATAGTACTTTGATTTCACCGAAGTGTGGAGTTTCCCTCTTGTAGTTAATGAGATTGAAGACCCCTTGGAAAAAAAAAAGTGAGCAAATAGAATTGCCTAGTTTT